TCCATTTCATCTTTCACCAAGCCCAGCTCTACTGCCAAGACGGTGCTTTTTAGCTTGTTGTACCATTGGGTCACTAAGGTCAGTGTCTGTGTGTACTACATGACGGAAAGAAGCACAGACATAGATTTTGCATTGAAATATTTAACAACAATAGCTGCCACGATGTCCATTTTGATGCCAGGATGCTATTAACCCACCAGGTATAATCTCTCCTGCTTAGAATAGAGATGCAGAGCTGCTTTAGGAATGTTTTGGACTTTCAGGATGCTCAGATATTTCACCTCCTTTAGCACAGACATCAGCTGGGGAAAGCAATGTTAAAATGACGTTAAACATTTAAACGTTATGAAAACGTATAAAGCAGTTTTTGTGCTGCATAGAATTGCTAAAGTGAGTCACCAATCAGAGCAAAAAGTGACTGATGTTTTAAGTCAGGTGTCCTAAAATCCAGGCCTTGAGGGTTGGCGTCCTGTATGTTTAATTAAGTATGAAACTTACATTTGCTAGTCAGCTTTTCTGCTTGGATAACTAACCTGCAAACTAACCTAATTGCAGGTTAGTTTCTTACCACCTGTAATTTCAAAAACACTTCACATCAAAGGCCTTTTCTTACAACTATGCAGACCTTTTTTAATATTGTGTGATGTTTTGATGGTAGACCTCGATTTTGACAGTTATTTAATTATTGGTGTCATAGTTTTCTTTTAAAAAAATTAACAAAAATATGAAGAGGATATGGGTGGACGAACAGCACACTGCGGTTGCTGAAGAAGAACTACATAGAATGAACAAATAGAATAAATGACTTAAAGGCCTAAAGGTCAATAAAATGGTCAAATGGCTTCCTATGGTAGGCATAACAAGATTGGGTTTAATTTCAGGAATAACACAGATGACTAAAAAAAATTATACGGCGATTTGACAGGTGTTGATGGGAGTGGTAATACAAATGTCATGACATAAAAAACAAGAACGCAAACAGAAAATGTGCTTTTGGTAGATGCTAATGAACAATTCACACATTATTCTAGCAAAGAACATTTGTTTACTTGATGATATTATTCATACTGCATTTGCTGTCAAAACTGAAGATATGCCTTCGCTTCATTATTGTTCATTTATGTTTCTGATGTCGCTAAAAATTAAATGTGGAACACCTAGCTCCTAATTTAGATTGTGTTCCTTTAGTTTATGAAATTTCTGGAGTTGGAAATAGTTTTCAATCTGGCACTTATTTTTCAGCCAAGGAACACAAACTAATACAAGATTACTAAACCACAGAGTTAGTTGTAGTTTAATGTGTTTGATAATCCTTACTGTATTGTTCTACATTTGGCAGATTTTTTTTAATTTATTGTTTGCGTGGCCCAGTGTAATTTAAAACAATATGCTCTTATTGTTATTTGTGCTTACAGCAGGACTGAAGTTGACTTGGAAATGGCCCGTGTCAGTGTCCAGTGTCAACAGTGGCTCTTTGAGATGTAATTGGCAGATATCCTCCAGCCCCTCGGTCCACTCGGTCAACAGCTCCTCATCATGCTTTTCCAAAATCTCCAGAGCATGTTCACACTTCCTGAGCACCTCGTCAGCATCTGCACTCCCAACAGGCCTGTGAAATACAAGAGGAACAACTTTGTTATCCATATAGTTTTAAAACCCAACCACAAAATGTTTTAGAACAGAACAGAATCTTTATTGCCATTGTAACAATAAAACATTGTCCAAAAGAATTTTGGTGCAGTTCTCCAGATAAAAACAAGATTCTCATAGACAATAAAACAATCACATTATAATATTGTACTTATCCTTTGGTTAAAAAAAATTAGCTTAAATCTAAACATAATCTTCGATCTGAAAGGCCACTTAGCAGCATTCAGCATGGTGATGGCTAGTGGGTAAAAACTGTGTCTATGTCTGTTGGTTTTAGTCTTTAGGGATCCAAAATGTCTGCCTGAAGACAGGCGTCCAGCAGTACATGTCCTGGATGTGATGTGTTCTGAAGCATTTTTTCATGTTTCTGAAACAACAGGAATTATGCAGTTCTGGTAGTAGAGGACTTCTGATTGTCCCCTGGGCAACTTTAATTACCGTATGGAGCTCTTTTTCTGCTCTGCTGTGTAGTCGGAAAACCATGCAGAGACACAATGAGTCAGGACTCTCCACAGTGCAGCGACAAAAGGACACCAGCAGTCTCTAAGGGATGCGGCTCCTTCTGAGAACCTTCCGGAAGTACAGTCTTTATTATGTTAATCAGTTCGCAGAGAAGTCCTCTAAAGCTTTTAACATCCTTTGCAGTAGCGTATGCAGATGCAAAGAGATACAACTGCTGCATAAATGCTAAACATTGAGAGGCATTTTAGGTTTATGTGTTTTCTCTGAGCCTGGTAGGTATACAGTCGCTTCGTACGTGTGAGGCAGCTGGCAGAAGTTGCTTCTGTTCGTGAGGATGCGGCTCCGAAGTTCTTGCGACCATTTGAGATTCCCAGCCACAGAGGGCATGTTCTTTCCAAGAACTGCGCAGTCAGACTGCAGCTGAAATAAAATTCAGTATTAGTGATATGGCTGATGAATTCTGCTTATAGTCAGCAGCAACAATTTTCCTTGCGTGACTGCAGAGCAAATATTTAAATCTGACGACACTTCACAGTTTTAGGTCAGTCAAGTTTGCCAAAATTTCGCATTTTTCAACTTTCTATATGTCTTTTTTTTCTACCTTTGAAGAAGGTTTGCAATCCAAACCTTCTTCAAAGCTAACAGTGAAACTTTTGTTTAATTAAGTTTCCATGAGTGAAAAAGGAAATATCTTAGTGCGCATGTAAATATCTGGTTTCAACATTCAACCTTTTGGGGTGTCCAGCTCCAGTCCTCACTGGTCAGAGTGCTGGATGTACGAGTTTTTGCTCTACAACATGTGATCTAAATTACTTAATTGGTTCCTCAACAGGACATCAAGGTTTGCCAGAGCTTTGAACAGGTTGACATCTAAAACATGCAGGGGAATGCATGTTTGCATTGCTCTGCTTTAGAGACTTCAGTGTTAAAAGCATAAAGTGCTCAAGCATAAAAATAAATCAATAAGCAAAGAAAAAAAAATTGAAAACCCTTCATAGGAATATTTTAGTTTGGCCTCTCACCTTTTCTCTGTGTTGATCCAGTATAAAATGACAGTGGTCTATTTCCTGGTTGAACAAGGCCAGCAACACGTTGTAATTAGGAGAAAACAACTCTTGGATTCTGGGTCTCTCCAGAAGACTGCCAAATATTTTCAACAGCTGGATGAGAAAAAAAATTATGAACTATAAAGACAAGACTCAAGAGAAACATTCTAAATATGACAAATGACATGCAAATGGCTGCAAACATGTTAGATCTTGTGTCCTTTTTATCATAAAATCCTGAAAATGCAACATTGCATGCTGTGTTTGGATTTTTCTAGATGTTAAAAAAAAAGTTCTACCTTAAAGACCGAATTGAGGTTTTTGGAGTGGTGAAAGGCCAAATTGAGGACAGTCCCCAGCCTCTGGTCAAAATCTTTGTTCTGCTCCACAAAGCGTCTGTGATGACGCACGAAATCCTGCGAACAAAAGGGCAGCAGAAAAAGAAACGATGGACATAGCCACTTCATGTGTTATTTAAAGGAGGTCCAGACTTAACCTACATTTCTGTGCAATTTTTTATTCCATTAAAACTTCAGTGGATGCTTTCAAGCTCTCCTTAGCTCAGTTAATCAGTTTTGGCTGCATTGGCTTGTACTTGAGAAAAATGTATTCTGACACAAATCAATTTCAGATCGAGTTTCTGTTCCGAGTCACACTGGAAGCTGTTGTAAAATAATATTTACATGTAGTAAATTAAATATTGATGCCCTGATTAATAAGGACTCCAGTCATTGGTTCTTGTGTGTTGCTTGGCAACTACTTTGCCTTACTAGCTTTCAATTAGTGCACCGCTGGACAGAAAAATAACATCTAATTACTATTTTTCATTATTTGGCCAGGCCTGTCAATGCCACATATAAATGACTGTGAATAACAACCCGTTGAGGCCTAATGAATAAATAGCAGGACAAAGGACAAACAGCAACAGCCTAGCCACATCTCACATCATTAGCGTAGTCAAAGGGGTCGTATTTGCTCTCTCTCAGACTCCGCCAGTGGTCATGAAACTCCTCGCTCATGCTGAACACCATCTCACTTAAGATTTTTCCTCTCGATCCACCAAGTTCAACCTTTTCCAGCTTCAGAAAGTCCAAAGCTGTTGCAAAAATGTCCTATTCGAGAGATGGGGAAAAGTAGCTGATGAATAACACTGACGAATCAATAAATACATTTAAACATAACATGGTTTACTTGAAAAATAAAAAATCTGACAAATGTATTTCAATAGCCCTTCGCCATACTTCCAGACACACATAAAGCTCTTCTGCTGTGTTTTTTTTGGGGGACCGAAACCTACACTCTTGCCTTCCTGCCACAAACACAAAAACAGAGCTGTGACTATGAACACACACACCTCAATCATAAGCAGTCTTTCCAAGATGCAGTCTGAACGCTTGAAGACGAGTGTTGCAGGAAAGTCCCACAACTTGATGTCCTTCTCGTGCTTGAAGTAAGCAGGTATCTGTTGACGGTAGACGTGAAACAGCTTCTTGAAGGAACGCAGAACTGAGACACTTATTCGTACTCTCTCCATCCCCTCCTCAAGCTCCATCTTAAACAGTTCTTCAGGAATCAGGTATGCGAAGGCCTGTGAGACGCATGCAGTTCGGTTCACTTTCTGACCTTTTATTCTGACTTCTCGTGCACATGTACGGTGATGATCCGCGTACCTTTTCTATGATCAGATTGCAGAACTCTTGCAAGAGGACCACCATTCGCTGTGGGGTGCAGTAGTACTCGGAATGACTCCAGATGAGACAGAGCGTGTGAAAAAGAGGAGGCAGTAGAGGTTCCACCTGTGGAAAACTCCTCTCTTCCAAGTTACTGATCTGTCTCCTGAGAGGTCGCAGGTACAGATCTATGTCTTCTGCTTCAAGCACAGCTGCAGTAGTAGTGTATAAATTTTAAGTAAATAAATTATTGTTGTTGCTTTAGTAAAATGACAGTGCCTTCTGCAAAAGCAATTAAGCCCCCAGATCTTTTCCCCATTTTAACCACAAACCTTTACATGTCATATTTGGATGTCATGTGTTCTAAAGTGACACAGTTTTATAAAGGTTTAAAAGGTATAAATACTTTTTGCAAGACATGGATAAGTTGCAACCCTAGAATAAAAGTTATGCACCCTTATCGACTTTGACACAGACGTCTTTAAAGGCGGAGTAGTAACTGCTCTTCACTCTTCTCAGGATCTCCATGATTTGCTCCACTTTGGAGCTCTGGATCTGAAAACAATATAAAAACCTGATGACATGCTTTGACTGGTTCCATTCATATTATTAGGGCAGCGTGAAAGGTAAAAATTTGAGCCAGTACCAACGCAAACATAAAAAAAAAGACGTATAGACAGGTTAAACTAATATTGGTGACACATCGCTTTACTTGGTTTTTAAAAAATGTGGAAAGACATTTTCTGATTGCTGCAGAAGTGCTATTCCAAAACATTATCTAGGCCAATAATTTTTCCAACAGCAACAAAAAAATAAAATAAATTCTAAGAAATTATTCTGGTCCCCAAATATACATGTCACAGGAGTGCTATTTTATAAAATTTACAATTTACAGAAGGTGGGGCCCTCAACATTTCCTTATGACATATTTTCAATCACTCACCCAGTTCAAATTTTATTTATTTCCAGTCAGGCACTTTAATATTCATTATGTCTTTTCATGTCCGTGATTCACTCAGGGACCCATTAGCAAAATATTAAATTCTGATTAATAGCAAAAGAGCAGGGATATTATTCATTTATAATGACTGCAGTGCTCAAAAAGGCACACAACACAACTAACATACTAAGCAGCTGGGACATATTCCAGGATTGTATGCTGTTAACTTCCCTTTGATTATGTCAAACTTGAGTTATTGTCAGCTAAACAAAATAAAATTTTTGTCTTACTAAAGTAAGTAAATAAAAATAAAAGTACGTAGTAAAGTAGGTAAATCAAGAATAGTAGGTTAAAGGTTTTTAGCCAGGTTTATCTTGTATCTCTGTGAACACTGCTAGAGTTCAAGTTTAGTTACATTTTGTGTAAAAGCCCGGTATCAACCTCTAAGTTAATGTCATACCTGTGACTGGATGCCCAGCAGGTTTTCCCTCCGAGTTGCCCAAAACTGGAGCTCCGCGTTGGGGCCTGGGTGGTCTCCCTGAAGCAGAAGCATGCCAGAGTCTTTCTTAAGCACATTCCAGATCTGGCCAGACCACTGAATGATCAAGGTTTCAATAGAGTATAACAAGCCGTGATCCAGTGGCCATCCAGTCGGACTGCGAGAGAAAGACAGGCAGAGAGAGTAAAAAAATAAAGTTGAGCTATGGAGCATGAAAAACACTTTTTGGCAAACTTCATATAGGAACTCTTTTACTTTAGTAAGTTGGGTGTTGTGTTATAAATACTTTTGGCAAGTTCAAGTTGCTCAATAACAATAAGCTGCAATCTTGAAGTTTTCTATTTTACTTCTGATGTAGCCAAAATAAATAAACCTCTGCTACACCACTCTTAACTTATTTTAGCTTGGTAAGCCGATTGAGACATTTAAAGTAAAAGTTTATTAGCTAATGTACTTTAGCTAACAGTGACTCTGTTTCCCCAAACTACGACAAATTCCAGAGCAAACATTTATCTCTATATTTTGAACATGCTAAAATTGTAGTATTTGGACTTCGATCCAGAAACTACTCACAAAAGTAACTCATATAGCACAGTGTATTACTGCTATAATACCATTTTAACATGTCAATCAGGAACCATAGACTCTGTAAATGGATATAATTCTAAACTTAGCAATTATTCATTTTCAGTCTTTTTAATCAATTAACCTACTGATTTAAAAGATGCTACACCGGCAGTACAATGACAAATAAAGTTGTGTCGAGGCTGAAAACAAAAAAAAAAAAAATGTCTGCACTTAGTGGTGGAGGTAAATCAGAGGGACATTCTAACCTAAAGCTAATATCTTGGGGTTGTGCTCTCTCCACGCATAGTGGAAGAGGCAGCAGAGTTCTTCCCTCTGCATGGCCTCTCAGAGTCACCACTTTGCTCCCGAGTCTTTCCAGGTGGTGATGGATGTCATCAGAAACCACCCGCGGCCAGTCCTCATGGTTAAGCCCATTGGATAGCACGCACACCAGCACCTGAATGGAGACACGGACTGTTTTAAGACATGGACTGCTCATTTTGGACAGATTTATTCCATTAAACCCCCCATTATTTTTTTTTTTTTTTTTTTTTTTTTTTACAAGCATACAGTGCAGGTATAAAAAGCGTACTGTGCAAGTATTAATTACCCCCTGAACTTAACATTTTGCCTCGTCTCTAAGCTTTCATTCTTTAATTGGGATTTCATGTTATGTATGTTACAAAATTGTGGATAATTAGACAGTAGATGGAAAGAGACAAATGATTTACACCAGTGGTCCCCAACCCCCGGTCCGTGGACCGGTACCGGTCCGTGGACCAATTGGTACCGGGCCGCGCAAGAAATAATTAAATATTTCCGTTTTATGTATTATTTGAGTCTGGAGGATCTTTTATTTTGAAAATCCTTTAACCGGATTCTCTCAGTTACTTGTGCGCCAACACTGAGCCCACAAGCAGCAAAATGAGTAAGAAACAGATCAGATGTCTTTGTAAAGTTTCTTGGCAAAGGGGAAAAGGCCCAGAGAAGAGACAGGAGGATGGATTTATCCCGGACCGGTAGGTGAGTCAAACATTACAAAACACTCTGTGTAACATGCCTGGGCATAACACCGGTGGAAACGCGGTCACTCCGAAATAGAGCCGAGCCGAGCCGAGCCGAGCGGGGTTGTTTCTATTGCCGGTGGAAGTCATCAAGCAAATCAGAACAGCGGAGAGGACTTAACAGAATGTCGCCAGTAAAAGTCCATGAGTAGGAGGAATAAAACAAGACCACCAGAGGGCGGTGTTGTCAAATAGAACAGAATGGAACGGGTCAAACACGTCACAGGGTCCGAGCTGCGTCACGTGTTCCCTCATGACGTAATTATTATAAGACTTAAAAGTATTTTTAGGCATTTATAACGTGCTGCACAGTTGGCGCAGTTGGTAGAGCTGTTGCCTTGCAGTAAGAAGGTTGTGGGTTCGACTCCCGGCCCGGACGCTTCTGCATGGAGTTTGCATGTTCTCCCTATGCATGCGTGGGTTTCCACCCACAGTCCAAAAACATGACTGTCAGGTTAATTGGGGTCCCTCCAAATTCTCCTTAGGTCTGAATGTGTGTGCATGGTTGTCTGTCTCTATGTTCCCCCTGTGACACGCTGGCGATCTGCCCAGGGGCGTTAACCCGCTCGCCCCCGATGTTCAACTGGCGAACGATTCGGGTAATGTTTCGTCCGAAACGTTACCCTCTGTGAGGGCACCTGTTCGGGGGGATACTCACAGGGGGCTGAGGGTTAAAGTGAATGATGAATGAATGTTTTACCTCACATTCAAAAAATAAAATAACATTTTTCAAATAAAAATATTTGTTTACAATTTGTTTACGTGTTTGACCCATTCCATTCTGTTCTATGTGACAACACCGCCCTCTGGTGGTCTTGTTTTATTCCTGCTACTCATGGACTTTCACTGGCGACATTCTGTTAAGTCCTCTCCGCTGTTCTGATTTGCTTGATGACTTTCAATTGCCCCTTTTCCACCGGCAATAGAAACAACCCGGTTCGGCTCGGCTCTATTTCGGAGTGACCGCGTTTCCACCGGTGTTATGCCCAGAAACTCATGCCTGCCCAGCAATGAAGCTTCAAACTGCTTTGCCACGTAGAGACCAAGCAGGCTGTGGATATAAGCAACACTTCGGGTGTCGTTGTAGAGGAACAAGCTGAGGGCTCCCGTTAGTCATTATCATGAGTTAAAATTTTCACGAAAGTAAAATGCTCGTTTTT